GCGGCTGCCTGGGGCGCTGTGTACCGCGCAACCGTCGCCACGTTCGTGTGCACTAGGGAGGTCCAGAGGAGCGGAGCTCCACGAGGATCTGCCAAGACCTCGCGGCTCCCTGGGAGGCTGCGAACCGCGCAACCGTCGCCACGTTCGTGGGCTCCTGGGAGGTCTAGCAAAGTGGAGGTCCACGCGGATCGGTCGAAACCTCGCGGCTGCCTGGGGGGCTGCGATCCGCGCAACTGTCGCAACCTTCGTGGGCTCCTGGGAGGTCCAGCGGAATGGGGGTCCACGCGGACCATTCCGAGTCCTCGGGGCTCCCTGGGGCGCTGCGAACCGCGCAACCGTCGCCACGTTGGTGGGCACTAGGGAGGTCCAGAGGAGCGGAGGTCCACGCGGATCTGCCGAGACCTCGCGGCTCCCTGGGGGGCTGCGAACCGCGCAACCGTCGCCACGTTCGTGGGCTCCTAGGGTGGTCCAGCGGAATGGAGGTCCACACGGATCTGTCGAAACCTCGCGGCTGCCTGGGGCGCTGTGTACCGCGCAACCGTCGCCACGTTCGTGTGCACTAGGGAGGTCCAGAGGAGCGGAGCTCCACGCGGATCTGCCAAGACCTCGCGGCTCCCTGGGAGGCTGCGAACCGCGCAACCGTCGCCACGTTCGTGGGCTCCTGGGAGGTCTAGCAAAGTGGAGGTCCACGCGGATCGGTCGAAACCTCGCAGCTGCCTGGGGGGCTGCGAACTGCGCACCTGTCCGCTGCCTTCGTGCCTCGCTGAGGGCCGCGGAATGGGTCCACGCGGACCATTCCGAGTCCTCGGGGCTCCCCTGGGGCGCTGCGAACCGCGCAAAAACCGTCCGCCACGTTGGTGGGCACTAGGGGAGGTCCAGAGGAGCGGAGGTCCACGCGGATCTGCCGAGACCTCGCGGCTCCCTGGGGGGCTGCGAACCGCGCAACCGTCGCCACGTTCGTGGGCTCCTAGGGTGGTCCAGCGGAATGGAGGTCCACACGGATCTGTCGAAACCTCGCGGCTGCCTGGGGCGCTGTGTACCGCGCAACCGTCGCCACGTTCGTGGCACTAGGGAGGTCCAGAGGAGCGGAGTCCACGCGGATCTGCCAAGACCTCGCGGCTCCCTGGGTGGCTGCGAACCGCGCAACCGTCGCCACGTTCGTGGGCTCCTGGGAGGTCTAGCAAAGTGGAGGTCCACGCGGATCGGTCGAAACCTCGCGGCTGCCTGGGGGGCTGCGATCCGCGCAACTGTCGCAACCTTCGTGGGCTCCTGGGAGGTCCAGCGGAATGGGGGTCCACGCGACCATTCCGAGTCTCGGGGCTCCCTGGGCGCTGCGAACCGCGCAACCGTCGCCACGTTGGTGGGGCACTAGGGAGGTCCAGAGGAGCGGAGGTACGCGGACTGCCGAGACCTCGCGGCTCCCTGGGGGGCTGCGAACCGCGCAACCGTCGCCACGTTCGTGGGCTCCTAGGGTGGCCAGCGGGAGGTCACACGGATCTGTCGAAACCTCGCGGCTGCCTGGGGCGCTGTGTACCGCGCAACCGTCGCCACGTTCGTGTGCACTAGGGAGGTCCAGAGGAGCGGAGCTCCACGCGGATCTGCCAAGACCTCGCCTCCCTGGGAGGCTGCGAACCGCGCAACCGTCGCCACGTTCGTGGGCTCCTGGGAGGTCTAGCAAAGTGGAGGTCCACGCGGATCGGTCGAAACCTCGCGGCTGCCTGGGGGGCTGCGATCCGCGCAACTGTCGCAACCTTCGTGGGCTCCTGGGAGGTCCAGCGGAATGGGGGTCCACGCGGACCATTCCGAGTCCTCGGGCTCCCTGGGGCGCTGCGAACCGCGCAACCGTCGCCACCACGTCCAGAGGAGCGGAGGTTCTGCCGAGACGCTGCGAACCGCGCAACCGTCGCCACGTTCGTGGGCTCCTAGGGTGGTCCAGCGGAATGGGTCCACACGGATCTGTCGAAACCTCGCGGCTGCCTGGGGCGCTGTGTACCGCGCAACCGTCGCCACGTTCGTGTGCACTAGGGAGGTCCAGAGGAGCGGGCTCCACGAGGATCTGCCAAGACCTCGCGGCTCCCTGGGAGGCTGCGAACCGCGCAACCGTCGCCACGTTCGTGGGCTCCTGGGAGGTCTAGCAAAGTGGAGGTCCACGCGGATCGGTCGAAACCTCGCGGCTGCCTGGGGGCTGCGATCCGCGCAACTGTCGCAACCTTCGTGGGCTCCTGGGAGGTCCAGCGGAATGGGGTCCACGCGGACCCTTTTCCGAGACCTCGCGGCTCCCTGGGGCGCTGCGAACCGCGCAACCGTCGCCACGTTGGTGGGCACTAGGGAGGTCCAGAGGAGCGGAGGTCCACGCGGATCTGCCGAGACCTCGCGGCTCCCTGGGGGGCTGCGAACCGCGCAACCGTCGCCACGTTCGTGGGCTCCTAGGGTGGTCCAGCGGAATGGAGGTCCACACGGATCTGTCGAAACCTCGCGGCTGCCTGGGGCGCTGTGTACCGCGCAACCGTCGCCACGTTCGTGTGCACTAGGGAGGTCCAGAGGAGCGGAGCTCCACGAGGATCTGCCAAGACCTCGCGGCTCCCTGGGAGGCTGCGAACCGCGCAACCGTCGCCACGTTCGTGGGCTCCTGGGAGGTCTAGCAAAGTGGAGGTCCACGCGGATCGGTCGAAACCTCGCGGCTGCCTGGGGGGCTGCGATCCGCGCAACTGTCGCAACCTTCGTGGGCTCCTGGGAGGTCCAGCGGAATGGAGGTCCACGCGGACCCTTTTCCGAGACCTCACGGCTCCCTGGGGGGCTGCGAAGTGCGCGTCGTTCATCAGATCCGTTGTTGCTGAGAGGTTCTGAAATATAGCTGCCCCGTGTTAGAAAAGGGTTGGGTCCGTCACAGGGTAACTGTCGTGGCACCCGCAGCGCAACAACGACGACGACGACGAGATGAAATAGAAGATTGTGAGCAACGCCTTCGGTGAATAATTGGTCGATCTATACTGCAATCGGTTTGCAAATGTACTCAAATTTACTCTGTCGTGCAGGAATTCCCAGGAATCATTATTCCCTGGGAAAACAAACCCTACATTATCCAGCCCGCCCAGCAATAAAAGAATCATAATCTCCCTCGCGACCACCACGACGATTACGACTACGGCTACGCTTACGACTACGATTGCGACTACAGCCACGACTGCAACCACGACTACAATGACAACCAAGACTACAATCACGATTACAACCACGACTACACTCACGACTGCAATCACAATCACTGATTCCTGTTGCAATCCTCATGAGAAAATGCTCGTGCATCCTCCCGCGCGTAGGGTAGCCCGTTCACGATTACTCCCCGGGAGAAAGAGCCCCCCAACATTATCAAGCCCGCCCAACAATAGAGGAAAATTACTTTCCGCCGCGACGACGACAACGACAACGACGACTACGATAACGACAACGAGGAGGAGGAGGATTAGGAGGAGGAGGAGGAGTAATAGGAGGAGGAGAAAGAGGAGGAAGAGGATGAGGAGAATAGTCGAGTTTGTCCCCGCTGAGAGAAACTGGGGGGAATCAAAACTAAAAACACATCCAGGTTAGCGACTCAAGACACACGACTACGACTCGAAGATTTCTACGCAGACTGCTGGAAAAGAAGACCAGAAGGACGATGAGCACGCTCACGAGACCATCACCTGGGGGTCTCGAGGGTAGCCGCGAGCCGCTGTGATGGTGATAATCAGGCTGCTGCTGATGATGATGATGCCGATGCCGATGATGATGATGATGATGCTGATGATGATCATGATGATGATGATGATGATGATGATGATGATGATGATGATGATGATGATGTTGATGCTGATGATGCTGTTGATGATAATGACGATGATGCTGCTGATGATGATTGTGATGGTGATAATGATTCTGCTGCTGCTGCTGCTGATGATGATGATGATGCTGGTGATGGTTATCGTGATGGTGATGGTGATGGTGATGGCGATGGTGATGATGTGCTGCGAGGTTCCAGGGAGCTTTGGCAAATTAGAGGGCTAAAGGGTAAAAGGAGTGAGGACGAAGAGCAGTTGGCAGAGAAGGTGGATGGTGAGGAGAACACGGCGCAGAGTGCAGACAAGGCGTTATGCGGCCCGAGCTGCGTTTAGAAAGCCCAGTGTATCATCAGAGCCTGCCTGAACGACACTGTTGAAAAGCTTTCGCAATGGACGCGCCCAACTCCCGCAACTGCTCTCGATTCCAAACAGTTCATGCAATGCCTAAAACGCACAAAATGACTACGCGTTGAGAAGAAAAACGCCACAAGGCAAACTAAGAATCCTCGCATAGGAGAATGCTTCAAATGACTGCGCGATCAATATGTGCGCACTTTCAGCTACAGGGGATGTGTCACACAGGCCGTCCTGAGTTCTTCGCTCAGGCAGCTGCATTGTTCTCCTCGCGGGCAACAAGTCAGGGGAGGCATTTGCTCGGAGATATATCCTCCTCCTCCTCATCCTCGTTCATCCTCATCCTCCGCCTCCTCCTCGTCCTCATTGGCCCGTACTCCTTCCCAAAACCACCATCCATCCACACCCTCCCTCCATATCCACATCCTCGCCCCTTCCATCCCCCATCTTCCACTTCCGTGTCCTCTCCTCATACACCTCTTCCGTTCCTTTCCGCCTCCCATTGCCACCAAGACTCCATCATTGCATCGCCATCCTGACCCAAACCACAGGATGACGGTTTTGGACAGAAGGGTGCACACACACACTTACACACCACTCCCCATCCTCTGGCGCTGCACAACACCATCGCGATGTGGCAAGCGAGCCACGCTGACTGAACCGAACTCGAACGTGTGCCAGGCGCGCTTCGTTCGAAGCCATGGTGCTTCAATCCGAAACAAAGGGCAGACTAGGGCGAGAGGCACCAAGACCAGAACGGCGGCGGCATGCGTGAACCGGACACCAGGCAAGCTACCCCAAATATCACATAGACGCACGAACACACACACACACACACACACACACACCACACACACCAAACACACACACACACACACACACACACATACAAAACCACAAACACACGCACAGAAGCACAAACACAAACACTCGCACACACATGCCCACACACACACGCCCACACACACACACACGCGCGCGCAACACACACAAACACACCACACACACACACACCTTTCTTTCGGCGGGCGAGCGCGTTAAGCGACGCGCCCTGTAGCCGCCCGCGCACGGCGAATCGCGGGAAGCCCAAAAAGAAATATGAGCAGACATGTAGAGAATGAAACAGAAAGCACCTGGAAATGAAGAAACGCAAATCATATGTTTCAGCGTTGCCCCCACCTCGCCTATTGTCCTGTGGACACGTAAGCGACACGGTACAAGATACGTGGCGCATAACATATGAAGATCCTGAAGTCGTAAGCCCCACTGCTCGCGCAAACATCCCACCCTCCCGTCCGCAACTTGTTCGGAAAAACAATGAGGCCACGATTGCGGCTGCTGACTGACACTTGCTAACGCATCTATGCGGCCGCCCTGGCGCGCGCACGCTCGCGCGCAGAGCGAACAGCTGGTCTGGCACAACTCGTGCGACCGCGATGGCGCTTACCAGTGGGCAGCTTCGCTTCAGCTCGGGTCGGTGGCTCGGGCGGGCGCGATATCATGATGACGTCAGCGGCGGCGGCGGCACAGATGATGATTTTTTAGATTATGTGCCGTTGGCCCTTACGTGGTGGCCTCTTCTGGCATGCTGCCAACATCTGAAAACGGAGGTGACGATTCGAGCGCCTGCCACGCCCACGCGAAAGGGCTCGGGCCGCTCTTGGCCTGCCCGACAGAAACTCCTGTCAAGACACTATTCAGAGGCGGCGCGCGGTCTTGAAGACCGAAGCGCCCAACAAGAGAGCAGGAGAGCAAGGTTCGGAGCCGCGCCACAGGGCGAGAAGGCCCGCAAGGCTGGCCCCGCCGACCGAGTCGCGAGTCACGGCCAATTGGGACGCGCTACTACCGCTTCGCACGCACAACATCGCGCCGTCGTCGCTGTAAAAAGATGCTGGTCGCTAAACATTTACCGGCGGTCCTCGCTAAGATTAAAACATCGGCGCTGTATTTATTGGGGCCACCAACTTAATAGACACATGCAATATTTTGCATCAGATGGACGTTCATTGCGGACCCTCCCGGCGGGACCCCCGCCGGACCCCAGACGCCCCGGCCAACCCCAGACCCGCATGGACCCTGGTCGTCCGCGACGTCGTCGTCGCCACCGTCGCCCAATGTTGCCGTCGTCGTCCCCCTCCAACCTCCGTGGCCCCCATGACCCCCTTCCAAACTGTTCGAAAAGCCGGAACCGTGACCCCCATGACCCCCATGACCCCTCCATGACCCGTTGAATCGATCTGTTCGGACAACCAGAACCGGCTTGAACTTGAACCCGACCAAAGCCGAACCAGCCAATTTAAACCGAACTGGAGTGAAAATCGGCCCGAGCAGGACCGAACCGATCCTTTCGTGAAGAAGGCTTCGAGTAGAGACACTCCAAGAGGGCTCCATGATGCCATCAAAACGGTCCACGGGGGGTCCAATACTGCCTAAGAGGGCTCCAAGAGGACGCCCAATCCGCCTTCGTGATGAAAACAGCACTGCCTTCCCGTATAGTTGTGACAGAACTTTACATATCATGGCCCGTCCTGGCGACGGAAAGTCCCGAACGGCCCAAAATGTCCCCAAGAAGGCTCCAAGACAGCCCAAGTGCCCAAAGAGGGCCCCAAGAAGGCCCCAAGACCGCCTAAGGAGGATTTCAAAACGGCCGGAGGGGCCACCAGACGGCCCAAGATGCCCACGGTCCAAGACGTCCAAGAGCCAGCCCCCAACAAGGCCCCAAGAGGGGCCCAAGGGGGGGGACATCGAGCTGGCCTCGACAGCCGGTGCTTGCACGACTACCTCCAAAACCCCCCACCATGCCCCGAGGCAGCCCCCGAGAAGCTGGAGGCCCCTCCGAGACGCCCTCGAGAGGCCCGAGACCCCCGAGAAACACCCCAGAGGACCCTGCAGACAACCAGCGGCCTCCAAACTGGCCTAAAAAAGGACCCCGAGAGGCCCCCAAGAGGCACCTGAGAAACTCCAGCGTGCGCGGCTCACCTCGCAACATTCACGCAGGGCTGTCGCACTGGCGCTGTGGTTGGGGTTTGCCGCAAGCAGCTGGGCACGGCGCAACTCATGCGGGAAGAACTGAATGTGCTAGATTGAATCCTGCAGCGCACGCGGTGAAAGCCACGAGGTGCAGGGCGGGTGGTGTGGGCTATGTGGTGTAAATTGCGTGGCGCAAGGCGTGCGGCAGAAGTCACGAAGCCGCTCAGCGCACGAGGCGCCCACGACGTGGCGCAACGGGCGAGCGCTGTCCGAAATCTCGGGTGACCCGCCCAGCGCACGAAGCGTCCACGGGGCCACCACGGGGCGCCCACGATGCGCCAGCGAGGCGCCCATGGGCGGGCACGAGGGCGATGCCTCGGCTGAAGCCGCCCCAGCGCACGAGGCGCCAACGTGGCGCTCACGAGACGCCCACGAGGCGCAGACGAGGCGCCAACGACGCGCCAACGAGGCGCGCACGGGCGGGCACCAGGCAACACCTCGATTGGCACATTCGACTCCTTAGGAGCCCCACTCGGTGTTTGCCAACTTGGACTTCAAAAGTAAAATGCATTGTGCTGTGGATGCGCCAGCAATGCGAACGAAACAACGCGGTGTAAGGTATGTGGTACAGTACACGTGCTGCAAGGTATGTGGTTTGAGCTGCGTGGTGCGAGCTCAGAAGTGGACCCCACCCTCCCCCTCAAAAATCGTGGGGGGTAGGGGTAGGGTTCACATGTGGCCACCTAGATGGGACGAGATGAGCGGCTCCGGCAGAAAAAATGGGGCGGGGCGCGCTCAAAGTAAAGTGGCATGGCGTGGGCGCGTGAACGAATGTGAGAATCCCAGCGACGGACGGGAAGTGCCGACCGCTCGGACGCACACGCGCACACACACACACACATACACACACATACACACACACACACACACACACACACACACACACACGCTCTTTATCGTCACATCGCGGCAAGCGCAAACCGCACGCGCGCTCGCGAAGTACGTCCAGGGCACGGAATACGGATTGTCCGGCGGCGCGAGAGGGGATTGGCCGGCGCGGCCAGCCGCTGCTGAGGCACACGCACACACAGTTTCTGGCGGTAGCGGCCTAGCGCGCAGCGACGACGCGGAGCAAGTCGAATCGTAAATCCACTGACCTGGGTCGGCTCAGGCCTGGGCCAGTCAGGCTTTGCAAGACCCTGCAAAATCCTGCAGGGTCCAACTGGCTCCTGCACCCGAGCCCGGGTCAATGCCATCCAGGCTCTGCAAGATCCTGCAAGATTTATGCCGGGCGTGTCCCCCTACAGGGGGATGTCCCGCCGGGCCATCGGGCGGCCCCGCGCCGGGCATCGTGGCGGTCGCAAGGAACGACGACATCCGGCAAGAGGAAACGGAACGGCAGCCAGGGCGGCAAGAACGCAGACAGTCGCAGGGGCGGGCGAGGAGAGGACAGGCAGGAACGGGCAGGAACAGGGCAAGGGGGACAATCGAACCGAAGGCAATGGCAGGACGAAGGGCAGGAGGGGAGCGCGGGCCTGAAGAAAACGGGACAAAGACAGGACTACGAAAATACAAGGCAAGGACGGACACCGACGAACCGTGAAGGGAGCGAACGCTACAGACACACATCCACAAACATGCTGGGGTGTCTCGTCGGCACCCCGAGGAGCAACAACCTTGGAGGAACAAGAGAAGAAGCGGGGAGGGAGACGAGCAATGAGGAGGAAGAGGACGAGGACAAAGATGGAAAGGCAGACGACGAGAGAGCAGCTAGAGAGCAGGGAGCATGGGGGGAAGGAAGAAAGGGAGGGGACGAGTGGACTACGGGGGCGGGGACAAACAGGAGGGGGAGGAGGAGAAGGCGGCGGCGGCGACGACATCGGAACAAGCTCGTGTCAACGAAGAGCCAGGCAGCCTGCGGAACGGCATTTTACAACCTGTGATCTATCGGGCGCTCAAGAGCGGATAGCCTCCCCCCAGGGAGGTGGGAGCCCCGAATGGTCTTCGCTCGAGCACCGAGGTCGAGAGACGCGGACCAGGGCAAAAATGGAAAATCGAAACCGACTGGCATAGGCCACCAAGGCCTTGAAACTGGCTAGATCTCCAGGGGTCGAACGGGAGCGAACGAGGTGGAGGCTCGGACGAAGGAGGAGAAGGAGGAGGAAGAGGAGGGGAAGGGATGACTAGATGAATGAGGGAAGTGGGGGAAGGCAATAGGGAAGGAGAGGGCAGGACAGATAGATGTGGGGCCGAAGTAGAAAATAAAAACAGCGAGGAGGGCGACTTTGACATTGACGTTGAATTTGATGAGGGCGAGGGCGAGGGCGAGGGCGAGGACGACGACGACGACAATGACGACGACGACGACGACGACGACGACGACGACGACGACGACGACGACGACGACGACGACGACGACTACGACTGCGACTGCGACTGCGACTGCGACGACGGTAAGTCGCCCTCCAGAACTCTGACATGTTTGCTCCTTTAGGGCCCCGGGGAAGCTCGTCGATTCCCCTCGGAACCCTTGCAAAAACACACAACAGAAGAGGTCCGGGGGTCGGTTCTTACGAGGATACCCCATCCGTCCTGAACTCTTGGCCCCAACGACTCCTGCCCCAACACATCCGTCTTTGTCTCTCGTTCTCTCTCTTTCTCTCTCTCCCTCTCGTGCTTTCGCGTTCTCTCTCATCCGTCTCTCTGTTTTTCGGTAATCGATATGTATGCCTTTATCTTTCGCAGTACCTGTGCCTCTCTCTCTCCCATTATCTTCCTCTCATTCCCTGTCTCTGTATCTCTCTCTCGCTCTCTCTCTCTCTCTCTCTTCTCTCTCTCTCTCTCTCTTTGCTATGTCCCTGTCCCTTCTACACGTGTCACAAGACGGATCCATTCCTCCATCGAGCGCGCGCCCTCGGAGGGCAGGAACGCATCCTCGCAGCGGAGAAGGGAGCATGTTCCGCGGATCCGACGGACGACCGCTGCGGGCTGCTGGGTGTCGGCCGTTTCCCACGTGGGCGTCCTCATCGTCCTCCCCCAGGATCGCTTCTCGCCCTCCACACCCTGGTGATGAGAATCCATCCGCGCGTCCGACGGACCACCGCTGCGAAACGCCTCCCCCTGAATTCGACCGCGCAAATGTATGCTGGACTGGAGTCTTTGTTGGCTGTGCGCGGCGCCCCGCCCAACGACTCCGATCTGGGTCAAGTGCACCACTGGGCAACTGGCTCGGCGATCCTGGGCCCCAGGAACGTCGAGGCTTCGATCTGTTGCGCGTGTGGCGCTACTCCGCTGGACCCCCACGAGCGTGGCGACTGCTTCGCAACTCGCAGCCACCCAACGAGCAACGAGGCCCCGGCTGCATGTGCGGACTCTGCTGCTCCGGTGTGCCCCCCAAGAGCCCACAAACGAGGCGGCAATTGCGCAGTTCGAAAACACCCAGAAACCTCGGCTGGATGCGCGTACTCCGCTACTCCGCCGTGCCTCCGAGGCGCCCACGACAGAAAGTGGCGATAGTTGCAGCCACCCAAGGCGTCACGAAGCCTCGCATGGATACACGTACTCTGCTACTCCGCCGTGCCTCACAGGACCCAACGAACTTGGCGACAGCAGATGCGCAAGTCGCAGCCACCGAGGGGCAACGAAGTCTCGGCTGGATGCGCGCACTACACTACTTCCCTGTGCCTCCCAGGAGCCCGCGATATTGGCGCCAAGTGCGCAGTTCGCAACCACCCAAGGATCAGCGAAGCCTCGGCTGGATGCGCGTACTCCGCTACTCCGCAGTGCCTCCCAGGAGACAAAGACAGTCGCGACACTTGCCCAGTTTGCAGCCACCCAGAAAGAAACGCAAGAAGGCAGGAAGAGGAGGGGAGAGGACGAGGGTGGGGAGGCGGGAGAAAGAGGTGGATACCACATTGCTCTATTCAGTACGGAAGCCAAATTCACAGGAGGGTTGAGACTAAAAGAAAGTAATGACCACGTGGATCCACTAGTCCCCTTGTTTTCCCCCAGGACCTTCCCCATTCACGTCCTCATCCACAGCTCCCCCACCCACCAAAGGAATACATGTGTCATCGGCCATACAGGAAATCAGCTTGCACATCCTGCAAATTAGGAATGCATGCACATCCTCCTGCACAGTCTCCAGCGGCTCCAGCGCGGCCGAAATACTGAGGACAGTTCGGCCAGCCTGAGAGGGTACATCATGGCATGGCAGGGCGATTGATGCGGTGGCTGACGCGCAGAAAACAAGTAAGCACGGCATTTGCCACCATCTGGGCCAACACTACGAAATTCGGAGGCACGATTTCAAGCGAAATGCAGAACAGACGGGAGGGGGAGGGAGAGCAGGACGAGGACGGAGACACAGAAGGAGGGGAATCAATAGGCAGAGGAGGAAGCGAAGGGAAAACAGGCAGAGGAGAGGGAATGCAGAGATGGACGAGGAGAAGGCGGCGGACACTGTCCCCAGACATGTTCACGTGAAGTACCTGATCACAAAAACGACAGAGCACATTGATAACACGAAACATGCGAACGTTTGACATAATTACGCGCCCTGGCCGCATCCCATCGAGTGGACATTGTTCACAGGGTACGACGCTCCCAAAACTTATCCGGATTCCTTTGATGACAGCAAATGTCCTACGTATCCGGTTCTGGCGCCAGCCAACGGAGAAAACGTTTGTCACAGTGCACTCGGATCAGGTTCGGCATCGACGATGGCACGTGCACTGAGCAACAGATTGCGGCCCGGTCAAGGACAGGGCTGCGACATCTGGGCCTCCTGTACCACATTGGAGGAACTGAAATCGGGGATGGACAGAACTCCCTTCAGTAGAACGTGGTTTAGAAAAACGACCTGAGGCCCAAACCTGGCGGACACAAGCCTGGAAAATGACGGCCGTGGCGCCCGCTCGAGAACCGAAAACGAACAATTCACTAATCGACGTGTCAGGGTGGGGGGGGTCTGTCTACCCCCGATGAAAGGTGCAATACAGATCTGATTTTCCCCGAACCTCTCCAGGGCTCTCTGCCTGTAGCGTCAACGGCATTTTGATCCCGCACCTCCTGCGCTTGCACTTCAAGCCGGGCCCCTGAGGCCCGAGGTCGCCCGCGCGCCCCTCCCCCGCCAACTCTCGGCGGTGAGGCCTCCCTCTTTCTGGAGGCGCGCACAAGAGGGGGGTAGGGGGAGGGGGAAGGCCTCTCGATAAGACGAGGCCGCTTCCTAAACGGCGCCGGCCCTACATCCACCGACGACGCCCACGCCTTCGTAGAAGCTGGGGGGGGTCCTAAGAAGCCGTCCCCCCCCCTCCCCCCACCGCCCTCTGCGCGTGGCCGATCCTCCCTGTGTCTCTCTCCTCCACGGCCGCTCTCTTCTTTTCCAATCCTCACTCAAGGGGCCCAGGGACACACAAATAAATACACACAAATAAAAGCATTCCCCATATTTTCACATATTTTCTGGGTTTTCGTCTTCCCGCCCAATTCCTATATTTTTCCATACTTTCATGGGAATCGACGATTACTTGTGTCTGTGTGTTGTTTCCCCTCCTGAATCGCGCCCCGTGCCCGGCGAAGCCCCGCCGGTATGGCGACCCCCGCGCCCGCAGCCGCGGGCGCCGCAGAGGAAAAAGTAGCTCTGGCACCTACAGTCGGGGCGTTGACCTAAGGAACCCCAAAGAAGGAACGAGGCCCCCTTTTTCCCATAAGTTCAACCTCGATTTCCCGTGGAAAACCTCAGGAAAGCCCGAGGCAAACTTTGAAACCTTCAAGGAACACCGAGCCCCTCCCCAACGAAAAGGGTTCCTTCTTCAGCGCCCCGACTGTACTGCACTGCGCCAGGAAGACTCGGCCACGGACGGGGCAACCACGGGGGGGAGGCAAAAGGAAGCAGAGGAAAGCAGGGCATGACACTGAAGCCCCACCACGGGGCATGACGTGGGGATCGCTGCGATGTGCTACCAGGGTCGCACGGGCCATGAGCCAAATAAGAATGGACAGACAGGGCCCGCAGCTGCAACGACGACGACGAGGACGAGAAGAGAGTGAGAGGGAGACGAGGCATACGGACGGGAAATGGGGGCGGGTACGTGGAGGCAGTGGAGGAGCAAGAAGGCCGAGGAGGGGGGGAGAGATCTACGACAATCTCCAGGTGTGCACGGGGTTCCGCGGAAGTTGAGTAGGCCGTAGAATCAATCAAAACGCCCCAACAAGAAATATGGGGGCCCCAATCCCCGCCTCACGAAGGGCTTCCGATTGGCCAAAGAGGCTCAACTCGGGGATCGACGACTTCGGGCCTCCATCCTTGACGGGGAGGCGTCCGGATAGCCCCCTGGGGGGTGCATCCCGAACACGCCGCCTCGTCTATACAACCGATTTGCTTCGGGGAGATCAAGGATACAATCAACGCATGTACTAGGACGAACGATGAGGGTGCAAGGGTCTCGGAAGGCCACGTCGGCACTTTTCGAACGGGGCCCGGCCATCGAAAGTGGCCAAGGATGGGCCGAAGGGCAACGATGCCAGGGTAACTTCGGAAAGCCGCTCATCCTTCATACGCGTCGGTCGGAGGAAACAGGAAAAGCCACGAAGCAGGAAGGCGGACAAATTGGGCTGGGTTCGGGCCCTCCCCGAGAACACCGCAGCATAGCAAAACCAGATTGGTTCATGAAGCAAGAAAGCGTTAGGAATTAATCGGGATCTGGGACTCAACATAAACCGATACTTTCAACGACCAGTATAAACGGAAGAAAGGAATCGAACAGCCGAACCGTCCGTCCGAAGGGGATCCGTAGGTAGAGGATGGATGACAGCGATAGCGGGTCTTATCACTCAGCGCTGCACATTCCTGTGTCCAGTACGGATGCTCCAACACCTGAGCCGAGAAGGGCAGCGGTAAAAAGAGAGGTAAGGAAGAGGGAGAGAGGGAGCATACACAACCTGCGCATTTCCGTCTGATTTCGATGGGCCAAGAGGGGGGTGTCCAAGAGGGGGGGGTGCAAATCATGACCGGCGGCATGTGCGCGGCCCAGCGGGGGGGCCAGGGACGTAATGAAATAAGAAGAGGCGCCATGAAATCTTGGTAAAGATCATGGCCCCCGCCATGATATCCACCCCCCCTAGTCATCACCCCCCTCTTTTCCGCCCCCGATGATTGCAAGACGACGAGCTGCCCACAACCCCCGGCCCCCGAGGAACTCTGGGGGGGGGGCCCCCCGGGCGGCCTGGATGGAGAGCGGCGCGCCCGCATCCTGACGGCAGCGCCGGCGGGAAGAGGGGGGGGCGGCCGCGACTGGGCGCCCTGCGACGGGGAAGGACCGGCGAAGAAGGGCGGTTCTGCCTCCTCCTCCTCCTCCTCCTCCTCCTCCTCCTCCTCCTTCTCCTCCCGCATCCCTCCACCCCCCACCCCCTCATCCCCTCCCTCTCTCCATCCTCCCTACCTCCTCCTCCTCCTGCCCCTCCTCCTCCTCCCTATCCTCCTCTCCCCTCCTCCTCCTCCTCCTTCCGCCTCCCCTCCACTACTCTCCTCCTCCTCCTCCTCTCCTCTCCTCCTCCTCCTCACTCAACTCCTCCTCCGCCTCCTCATCCTGCCTCCTTCCCTCCCCCTCCCCATTCCTCTTCGTCCTGCTCCTCCTCCTCCTCCTCCTCCTCCTCCTCCTCCTCCTCCTCCTCCTCCTCCGCCTCCGGGGCATCTGGGCCAGGAGCATGCACGATGCCACGGCGCCAGGAGCCCTGTGCTCTCAAGCCCCGTCCATACCTCAAGACGGAGGCACCCCCTTAACAGATTACCACCCATGCTGATGGCACACAGATTTCTGGGTGTAGGCTTCTGGCGACTCAACGTGTCGATCGTGACAGCAGGACGTCGGCTGTGTGCGCTGAAGTGCAAATGCATCCAGCTCGGAGCGCCTCGCCTCCATCGCAGAGGCGTGGCATGCGACTTCACCTGTCTGAGGGGCAGTTCTACCCAGGGCTACGGCAGGGACACGGCATGGGAAGCACACTTGCGACGGTCAGGGGATCGGTATTGGTGCACGGAGGGCGGGTGGGCGAGGGGGCTACTCACCATTGAAAGAGCGGGCGAAAGCACTCTCACGACCTCTCGGGATCGGAGCCCCTTTGTGTGTGTGCGTAAGTGTGTAAGCGTGCGAGCGCGTAAGTATGTGTGTGTGTGTTTATGTGTATGTTTGTGTGTGCGCGTGGCTGTGTGTGTTGCTGTGTATGTGTGTGCGTGCCTGTGTGTTTGTGTGTGTGGGTGTATGGGTGTGTAAGGGCGTGTGTAAGTGTGTGCAAGTGCGTGTACGTGTGTGTAGGTGTGATTGTGCAACTGTGTGTAAGTAAGTAAGTAGCTAAGTGCAACAGTGCGTGATTATGTGTAAGGTCACGTGTAAGGGCGTGTGTAATTGTGTGTGCGTGTGTGTGAGAGTGTGTGTAACTGTGTGTGGGTGTGGGTGTGGGTGTGTTATGGGTGTAGGTGTGGGTGTGGGTGTGGGTGTGGGTGTGGGTGTCGGTGCGTGTGAATGTGTGTGGAAGCGTGTTAAGTATGTCTGTCTGCCTGCCTGTCTGTCGGTCTGTCTGGCCGTCTGTATAGTGTGAGTGTGTGACTGTGCGCGCGTGGGTGCGTGGGTGCGTGCGTGCGTGCGTGCGTGCGTGCGTGCGTGTGTGTGTGTGTGTGTGCGTGTGTGTGTGTGCGTGTGCGTGTGTGCGTGCGTG